TTCTTTTTTTTTCATCATTTTTTTTTTTACCTTTACTATTTACTATTGTTTGGACGATAAATCAAGTAAATAGAATTTTGTTTTTAATTATATTATAGATTTTTTTTTTTCTTTTTCTATTGTTTGGGTGTGAAAGTAAGGAAGAATGATTTTCTTTTTAATAATGGTATATAGATTGAGAATCTTTTTATATTTACCTATTTAACTTATTATTATTAGTATTAATCAGTGACTTTTGTTTCTTTTTCTATTTTTAGTGAATTAAGGATCCTTTTATATTTTTCTATTTTAATGTTAACTTTTAATTTTACTGATTATTATTAGTATTAATTATTCAGTGAATTCCATTTCATTTTCTATTTTTCGTAAATTATGAATCTTTTTTTTTCATTTTTTTTTGTAGGATTGTTTTTACTGTTATTTTTGTTATGACACCTTTTTTTAAAAAAATCTTTCATTTTCATTGAATTAAGAATCCTTTTTTATTTTCAATTTTACTGATTATTATTAGTATTAATCAGTAAATTTCGTTTATTTTTCCATTTTTAGTGAAGTAAGGATCTTTTTTTTCTTCATTTTTTACTGCTAATTTTCTGACTGATTATTATTACTATTAATTAATCAGTGAATTCCATTTCCTTTTCTATTTCTCGTGAATTAAGAAACTTTTTTTATTATTCTAATTTTTGGTAGAATTTTCTTTTTTTTACTGTTATCCTTATTATGACTTTTTTTTTTCACACCCTTACGTTTCTTTTTTCCATTTTCATTGAATTAAGACTTATTTTTTATTTTTTTTTACCAATTATTATTAGTCATAATCAGTAAATTCTGTTTATATTTTCATTTTTAGTGAATTGAGGATCTTTTTTTTTATTGATTATTGTTAGTTTTAATTAATTAGTGAATTCCGTTTTCTTTTCTATTTTTTTTTTTTGTGAATTAAGGATCTTTTTTTCTATTTTACTACTAACTTTTTTACTAATTATTATTAGTATTATTAATTGGTAATTTTTTTTTAATTGTTTGGGCGGGTAAGTAAGAAATGGGGGTTTAGTTTTTAAGAATAATATAGAATTTTAGTGAGTTAAGGATCCTTTTTATAGAATTTTCTTTCAATATTTAAATACATTAGCATAGTAATTACACCAAAGAAGGAAAGAAAAATTATTAGAATAATAGTATTTTCACCCGTTCGATGCACATAATGGATTTGTTGTAATATATTAAGAATATTTAGATCAATATATAATTATTTAAATTAGAATATCAAATATTATATAGTGCAATTGAACATATGGTTTGGATTATCTATGTGTTTTGATGTTATCATTGCTTAAATTTGAGCAAATAATTGCTCAAATTAATAGCTAATGTGTAGATGTACGCATGCGGTGCTGTAATTTTGGATATTTTATTTATCATTTTTTAGTATTTTTTTTTATAAATTAGTCAAATGTGCTCATTCTCAAGCAACTTAGTTATAGGAATGAATTACTATCTTAATTCATTTGTATGGAAGATATATATTTTTTTTGTCTAGATATATAGCAAATTTGTCATTTAAAAAAAATATCAACGATTGTATGTACACATTATTGAAACATCTTTCGACATTGGTAGTAGCAACACAATCTTGTCCATCATCGTCTATAGCTAACACCTTCAGTCCATCATGATGGGTGACTCGAGTGAAAATATATAATTATAGAATATTAGTCAATTAGGGATTTTTTTATATTTTAAGTAAGTTTGTAATATCATATTCATTTTCAGCCAATTATTCTTTTTTATTTTTAATCAATTAGTCAATTAGAATATCATATGCAATGATATTTAATTAACTAATTGAGAATGTTCATATTAATTAACTTTGTTAGGGTTTGTATGGGTAATTGACGTCGGTGGTTATGACTTTGTTGCCGACGACATACTTGAATTCGGCATTCATCCATCCTCCATTGCACCCGCCGCTGACTGTGTCGCAGTCCACTACGATTGGTAATATTTCTAACTTATGCTTACATTGGTGACCAATCGTAAATATTACATTAATTGAACCAATTCGTAATATTTACGATTGGTAATTCCTCTAAGCAAATAATTGGTAATATTTCCAATTAGAATATCATATGCAATGATATTATTACCAATTAAAATGTAGTGAATTATTTTATTAAAAGCAGCAAAAAATTGTGTATATAAATTAATAAATTAGTTGTATAAATTAAAAATGAAAAAACAGGAAATACATACTTAAAATTAGATTTCTAACTTATTTAATTTTCAGAATTTCGGAATAAATTTGTAATTGTATATAGTAAGGTAAGAATAATTCTTATGCAATATACGATTTGACAACTCAATTAATATTAAGATTTCATGCAATGAACATGTATATCATCTTGTGTACTCATTTGAACGGTAATTTATTTTTATACAGTAATTATGCATAATAAATTAATATTATGCTAATTAATAACTAATAAAATTTATTATTAATTTGACCATTAAAATTAGTCTGGATGATAAAAAACATATATGAATTGGTTCAATAAATCATAAATATTACCAATTGTTTGGTTAGAAAATAATCATTATCAAATTAAAATTGATTAATTTGACAAATTATACTTAAGATAAATATTACAGATTATTTACTTATATAAAACTTTTATTGAATTATTATTTTATAATAAGGAGTGAAAAATTATATATATACCATATTGGTTATTGGTTATATACCATATTATGGATTTACGTCCATATGAGAATATGAAAAGAATAAATGTACAACCTAATTAATACTACGTATTACATAATATCATACGTAATATTACTATACATAATACCATACGTAATTATTATTTTTAATACCATGCATACAATTACCATACATACTTGAATTGGTTATCAATATAGATTTCTTAAATTGGTTATAAATCATATTATAGTATTACGTCCATATGAAATAATATTAACATACATAAAATTACCATACATACTTGTTAATATTTAGATTTATTAAATTGGTTACAATTCATATTATGGTAAAATAATTCTTATGCAATATACAATTTGGAAACTCAATGAATATTAAGATTCCGTGCAATGAACATATATTCCATCACGTGTACTCATTTGACCAAAAATATGAAGGTTGGTTCAATAAATCGTAAATATTACTAATTGTTTGGTTAGAGAATAATCTTTATCAATAAAAATTAAAATAATTAAATCTCTATCATATTCATATGCTGTTGCTTTAGGCTTTTGTCAAGGAGCACTACTCACGATCCTCAACACATTGCCATGGCTCCAAATCCTTGTGTTACTCCTATTGGTGCTGGAAGGACCATCACATCAGGAAAAAAAATATTAATAGTCCAAACTCATTCAATGATGTCCCCTCTCATGCAAATGACCTGCAGATCTAGTTGCTCAGAGTCCACTAATAATCAGATGGTCAGTTTTTTTTCTATCACTATGAATAGTGCATTATTTAATCTTGCTCAGAGTCCAATAATAAACAACTTTTAATGGATTGAGATAAGGTATTAGAGAAATACCTTTTAATGGGTTGAGCAAACTCGTCCAGATTAATGATGAAGAAGATCAGATGATATATATGATCAATATAATCATAGTTTATATAATATATGTAGATAGATTTTAAATTTCACCAATAGTATATATGATTTTCTATTCTTTATTAAAAAAAAAAAGAGTTGAAAAATGATATAGAGATTTACCAAATGTGTAGGTGTAATGCAACAGCTCTTCTGGATACGCAGAGAATATGGGTCTTGTTCCTCCTCTTCTTGAAGGTCCCTGTTCTCTACACCATTGCTATGCAGTTGCAGAGAATATTTCCTTAGGTTCTTCGTAACTTGGTACTGTTTGTATTGAAGAGAATGTGATGTATATATAGGTGTTTAGATATGATTAAGGGTAACATTTATGGTTTTTATTATATTACCAATTACCAATTACCAATTACCAATTAAAATTAGAGTTACAATTTTACATTTGCTTACCAAAAAATTATATATAGATACTTAATTTATATTTGAAGAATATATTTACCTAATTTACTTTATATACAGTAATAAGTATGTCTACACATAAATGAATAATATATAATATATAATTTCAATATTTTGAAAATTAATTAAATTAGAAAATTAGGATATTATATAAATGCCGCTAAGTTTTGGGGGAAAATTTATATGGTTTTTATATTATTATTATTATTATTATTATTATTATTATTATTATTATTATTTTATTATGCTTACATTATTTCATAAGATTTTTATTATATTTGAACAATAATATTTTCAATTATATTATAGAATATAATACCATACATAATATTACCAATTATGTAATATAACAATTAATAGATTTTATTTAATTTCCATTTGACATTTACTTACCAAATAAACTTTACTACAAAAATTTTGGGGGGAAAATTTGTTAGTAGGATTTTACTTTTATATATATATATATATATATATATATATATATATATATATATATATATATATATATATATATATATATATATAGATGTACAAATGCTATGTAAAATGATTGTATTTAATAAAATCAAAAAAAAATTAGAGAAATAAAAAACAAGAAAAATGAAAAATAAAAAACTGAAAGAATAGAGAAGGAAAACTGGAAAAATGGAGAAATAAAAAATTAAGAATGAAAAAACAAAAAAATGAAGTAAACGATCTCTTAGACTTAGTCTATTTTCTTAAAAAAAGAATTCCCAAAAAAAATAGATATAGAAAACTGGAAATTTCCATTTTTGGCAAAAAACAAATAAAAACAAAAGGAAGACAATTTTTGGCAAAAAAATAAATGAAAGCCAAAGGAAAAAAGGAAAGCTCCAAAGCTAATTAACCAACGCATAGGAACGACGCCGTTTGATGACAAAAAAACACGACTTAGTACCTTTTCCTCTCTTGTATGTAAAATTGTAATTCTATCCCGTCTCAGTATATTTGTCCCTTGCTTCTATCCCTCGAGCGAGTCGAGTCACCCACTCCGCAGCTCCCTACCGCTCGCTTCAATCAATCGATTGCTGGCTTCAATGTCGCAGGCGTAAAGTTGAAGAAGAAGACGCTATCTGCTCCGCACAGAAGGCGTCTGAACACTTATATTCTTTTTAAATCATTTTTTTTGGTTTGTTATTAGGGCTTCGATTTTGGGTTTCTTTCGGGGCTCAATTATCTTCGATTGTATTTTTGCTGACCTCAGTCAGGTATCCTTCTCAGTGCAATTGCGATTATCTTTAACTTTTCATTGTTTTTTATTTTTATTTTTTAAAAATATTTTTTGTATTTGTATATACTTTGGATTTTTTTTAATTTGGAAAAGAAATCAGACTTTATTAGTTTTTTTTTTTTTTTTTTCAAATATAAAAATTTCGCTTCACTTTTCGTAGCAATAAGAGTTTTTGTTTTCTGATTTCGGGTTTTAGATCTCTGTTTTGAACTATTCTTTGAATTTTCTCGTTTGTTGCACAGGTTTTGCTTAATTTTGGGGAAAACCCTAAATTTTGACCCCCTCAGTCATTTTTATTCTTTGTGAGTAAAAGTAAACACCTAAAAACAGTTTCTTTCGTATTAGAGTAACTTTTGTTTACTCTGATCGTCGGTGGTTAGTCTGCAAGATACGCTATTTAAGGTGGGTACGCTCTCTCTCTGATATGTTGTCTATTTTTTCTTTTTCGTGAATTTCGAGCATGTGGGTGTTAATATTGATTGTATGTTCCTTTTATTAATTGTAATTGTTACTGGGTCTCTAATATGTGGATAACTATTGGTACTTAGATATTGTGGCTGGATTAACTTATGATATTGGTAGATGATATTCATGCAAATGTTTGCCTTTGCATGTAGTGACATTCTATTTATTCACTCATAATTTCCTTGGGACTCTAGAGTTGTCTATGGCTTCTACATTGGCTGCTGATCCCTCGCACCATGGTTCATATGATGCTGGATCTCAAGAAAACACTGAGGAAGGTGGTGGCAGTTGGTATTTCTCTAGGAGGGAGATTGAAGAAAATTCTCCCTCTAGACAAGATGGCATTGATTTAAAGAAGGAGACTTACCTGCGCAAATCATATTGTACATTTTTACAAGATTTGGGCATGAGACTTAAAGTGTAAGTCTGCAACTTCTGATTGTTTCCATTGATTATTCCTCCTTAATTTTAGGCAAGTGGAATAGCTTGGAGTTCTTGTGCTTACTAAACTAATATAATCAGGACATAAATGTTTGTGTCTTGTATTGTAGTATCATACAGTTTTTATAACAGTTGTTCTTGTGTGAGACTACATTGCAAGAGATGTGTAATACTTTTTTTGGATTCCATAAAAAAGTATTACATTTGAGGTTAAAAAGTATTACAATTTCTCACTTGAGATGGTCTTACACAAGTTTTTGTATTTTTATAGTTGCTGGTTAATCATTTGATGATATAAAATGTGTCAGCTTAGTAACATTACTAATCTAATCCTCCATGATTAATCTATTCCAAAGGAACTTGTTATAGAAGATTAAAAATTTGTATTTGAATAGCTGAAATAATGAAATCGCATTGCAATTAAGCAAATGTTTTAAAATAAGTTGAACAAAACCTCAACTATATTTTCAAAAAAGTTGTTTCTAGAGCTTTAATCCATGAACTAATGGTTAACAGATGATCACTTAGTTATAGCTAGCTCAACAGTTTCACTAGGAACTGTATTTTCCTCCCATTGAAAAATACATAATAAATCCCTTCAAGTCATGTGTATTTTTCATTGGAGTAATACTCCATGTACTCCCATTTTCTACTCCATTTTTTACTCCCTGCTGAGGTGTCATCCTTTGATTGATTTAAATAACAAAGTGGGTCACTGTTTTTATTCATTCACTTTTATTTTCCCAATAAAAGTTGTACACGTGGCGGGAGTTATACTCCATGGGAGTACATATATCATTTTCCTTTTCTTTGTAGCCAACTATCCTTTGTGCAGATATTCACAGTTACAGAGGTCTTTTTAAGCAGAAAGCAACCCCAAGGGTATTCCATCTTCATCTTAACTTGCATATGTTTGAAGCATTGTCTTTTGACAACTATCATTGTCTCATCATAGTCAATGAGGCTATGTCCATAGTTTTTGCCAGTGTTGTGTATAGATACTTCTGGCACTAATGAACTATCTTCCCCCTTGTGCTCTAAGGAATAAAGCTGGTTATTATCTCCAACTCTTTTTAGTGCCTTTTTGAATGCTTGATAGAATTCCTAAACTAACCTTTTGGGATTCCATTTTGAATTAGGCTCTGCATCATGCAGCCCTGGTTAACCACCACTCCCTACATCTAGTAACCATCATATAGACTTAAAATTGGTGAATTGGATTAACTTCTTATATTAATTAGATTATTCTAGTCAACATTCAATGCTTGATGTCCCCAGAAAATATGATAAAGAGAAGAATGAAGAGAACAGGAGGGAAACAAGAAAAAGCTTGAAATCTTGAAAGGTTATCAAGGTTTGGGATTTCCTTAATAACTGCTGCACTGATTTTGGTTATAGATTGGGAAGGATCCTAAGCTCTAACCTACAAAACTGAAAGTAGAGAAGTTTCCAAACTCAATTCCTGTTTTTTTTTTTTGCAAATCCCTGTGGTGGTTTCCTTAATCACTGCTACACTGATTTTGATTATAGATTGGGAAGGATCCCAAGTTCTAACCATCCAAAACTGAAAGGAGGGTAAAGTTGCCAGACTAAATTCCAGTTTTCATGTTCTGAATCCCTGTGGTTGTACCAGTGTGCAGTTGTGCACCCATTGGATTACAAATGTAAATATTTTTTACAATATCAATGAGGACTCTAGCAGGGTTATCTAGGCGTCGCCTAGGCGACGCCTAGGCGTCCGGTTGGTGAAGACCGAACGCCTAATATGCTCGCCTCGCCTAAGTGTAGAATACAACCCAAAACTCCACAAAACATACATGGGCAGAACCTACACACTAAGGCGAGTTGACCGGTGTAATTTTCAGCCGGAGAGGTCGCCGGAATCTGCCTCACGCGCCGGCGCGTGGAGGCGTGTGGTGGCTCTGATGGCGGCGCGGTTCAAGCTCCGGCGTCGTCCTCCTGTTCCGAGCAAAACCTACTCCCTCACTCTGGCATGTTATCAATATATACTAGACTTCTCACCACCTTAGGAAAAACTATTCATCTTCTCAAGACAACTTTAAGTAAATAGGGTTGTGAAAAGGCTGCCCAAGACAAGATATTTTCAATATACAATAAATACTAGACTTTTCACTATTCTAGGAAAAACTATTCATCTACTTGAAGTAAATATGCCAGCAAAAAGGCTGCCCAAGACAAGATATTTTCAATATATATATACTTTTTATTTATTTAATACTCATCGCCTAGTCATCGCCTAGGCGGTCGCCTAGTCGACTAGTCGACTAGGCAGTCGGTGGCATCTCGCCTAGAAAGTCCGCCTTGATAACCTTGGACTCTAGTTTACTTTGAAACAGGAACAGAAAAAAGAACCCTTAGATCCAAGGACATCAATGATCCTTTATACTTCTCCTTCCATTGAACTGAAATCCTTCATATGTTTACATGGGAGAGTAGTCAGACCACGTTGCTGTCTCTCTATGGCATTAGCATTTCATTTTTTGGACTGAGTGGGAATTTGGATTTTCTGCCATATTGGTGGTTTTTGTAAAGTTAGTTCTTCCCTGCTTTTGCTGGTACAAAGAAAAGCATGGATATGTTTCTGAGTTGTTCAGGTGCTGGAGAGTGGGAGGGCGAGACTACTGATTATTTGGAAATAGGGAATGAAAAGATTGGTTTGCTTTGCTGTTATGTAGAGGTGCAATCATAGGCACAAAAAATTAGCTTTCCTAAAAGATAATTTTACAAATAGATTCCAAATTCATTAGGATATTTTGTGGACTTTACAAAGATCTACAAATACTGCCACTTTAAAATACTCTACATACGTGACATTTGAGTTTTGATTTTCTCCGATCAGCTACCTTATGTCCTTATCTAATTTGATGTTGAATCAATTAGAAATTGTGTTGTTTTACTTTTGTGTGCTTTCATGATTTGAATTGCATATTTTGCCTATAAAATTAAAAGCTACCTGCTTTCATGATGTTGGAGTGCATTATTTTTTCCTTTTGGTGGTAGAATATGCATGAAGTTTGGCAAATTTCTTGTAATTTTAATGTGGTTGTATGTGTTAACTTGCAGGCCTCAGGTAACCATTGCTACGGCAATAATATTTTGCCATCGTTTCTTTCTTCGTCAATCCCATTCAAAAAATGATAGGAGGGTAAGCAATATTTGTATACTTCACCCTAGTATTTCTTATAATTGCAGTTACAAACTTATTTGACAAATGTTGAAATAGGACTCGTCTTCATTTTGTTTATGTATTAGTTACGTGCTTTGTGTGTAGTTCTCTCTATAATTTTATCTATTTTGCTATAGGCTTTCTGTTCTCTTATGCAATGGCTGGAAGTATTTTAATTTTATTAGTTGTTGATCATGAAAACATGATATTATTAATGCTTTGTTGTCTTGTGATTCCAATTGTCTGAAAACATGTCTCTCTTGGATTACAGAATCAAATATGAACAGAAGTTCTGATATAAAATGTTGTAGGATAGCATGTAAAAATCTGTGTTGATAATTTTTTTTCTCTGAATTTCTATTTTGATTTCAACTACAAGAAAGGAATATGAGAGACTTAAAATATCAATACTCATTGATATGTTTGTGTTATTACAAGACTGTCTTAAAGAGCTTGTGCTTTAGTTCCATTATATTTGGTGTGGTATTCCCCATCTTAATTCCTTAAAGCATTGATTTCTGTTAATTTGATATTTCTCTGGTCTCGAGCACTGCACTTCTGTTATTGTTCAATAGGAAAAAACAGAAGTATCAGTATGGTGAGGGTAAAAGGGTTCGTATAATCTTATCCTTCGTAATTCATCTTAGTTGGCTTCCTTAGCTTTCACTTCTACTATCTTCTAATCAATTGATGCCTTTAGGGCTAAAGTAAATGACAATTGTATTAAGCGCCACATACTTTTCGTGGTTTTTGCCCCTAATACATTTTAAAATTCTTTGGTACCCAAAGGTATCAACTTGATGCATGCTCTTTATATTAATGCTCTAACCAACAAAGCAATAGTGATTGGGGGGTAAGTGTTCATTGCGAGATTTTATCACTGTCCTGGATCAGTTCAAATAATATTTCCGTTTATCATGCCCGGAGAATGTTTTGATGTTTTCCCTCCACTTTGAGACCAAAAATCCAAAATAACTTTTCCCTTTTGCATCCTTGAAGTTGTTATTCTTCAATGTGTAATGTGTTCATATCAAGGGAAAATGATTCTCTCAGTTAGTATGGTTACATACAGCCAAATGTAGTGATTTAGAAGAAAAATAGTTTTCACACGCATTTTACTAACTCTTAGCTTGTATAGGGAAGCAAATAAGAAAACCCTTAAACTAAAGTGAAGTAACTCAAGAAATTGAGAAGAATTATTCACAGATTTTAGTTCCTCTGAGTGATTGCACTTAGATCACAGAGTTTTAATTTGAAAAGATCATTTACATTCAAAACCCTTAATGACTTTTACCTTATCAAAAGAATTGTTCCTAGATTTTAATTCCAGTATGATTGCTCTCAAATCAGCATAGTGGTAGACGTAATAGGGAAATGGGGAAGACCAAAATGCTGCTGGTAGACCATTAGCAAGGGCGCCACTTTAACTTATATACTTACCCTCTATCTAATATGTTCATTGGTGGGCTTGAATGTCTTGAATAGAATGTCATAATCTCTCCATACAACTGGACGAGAGATTATTGGGGCATTGATATTAATAATAATTAATTAATTAATTAAAAGAGCAAATTCCACTTCCAGTCCTTTACTATTGTGGCATTGCATATTTAGTCATGCTCTTTTAATTTTGCCACATTACATACTTGACTTTTATTTGTTTGCCACAACTAGTCCTTTTAAATTTTGGTTATTCTACCATTTAATAAATATGGCTAATATGTAATTTTATCATTCAATTAAGAGTTTACAAGAGAGGGAGAGAAATTACATGTTGGGGCAAGAGGCTTGAATGATAAAATTACATGTTAGCCCTCTTTATTAAATGGTGAAATGACAATTTTAAATGGAGGACTAATTGTGAAGCAAATCAAAGTCAAGGATATAATGTTGTAAAATTAAAAGAATAGGACTAAATGTGGCAATGCCACAATAGTTGAGGACTAAAAGTGGAATTTGCTGTTAATTAAAAATGTGATATGAAATTCCACTCCTACAATGCTAAGGAAAAAAAAAGGGTCAGATTTTTTACTCATTCCTTTTCTTCTTTTGTTCTATTTTTATTTTTTTGGGTGGGGGGCAGGGTGGTGATATTGAAGTTCTATTAGGGTCCGTTTGGAAAGTAGGAAAATGACTTCTGGAAAATGTTTTCTAGAAAATGAGTTATTTTCCAGAAAACATTTTCCTTTCCAGTGTTTGGTTGCATTTTGAAAAACTTGTGTGTTTACTTTATTTTCTGGAAAAATGAGTAGAATTGTATGTTTAAACATTTTGGCGGAAGTCTTTTTCCGCCAAAATGGCTTCATTTTCCCCAGTCAACCGAAAATGTTTTCCGTTGATTGGATTTTCCTGTTGCATCCAAACACTGAAAACTCAGAAAACATTTTTCAGAAGTCATTTTCCGGGTTTCCAAACGGACCCTTAATGGAACTCCATTACACATTCTATTCATAACACTGCCAAAATACGAGCCATAAAATTCAAAGCCCGCCCCTCCTTTTTGGCGGGGCGGGGTGGGTTCGCGTGGTGGGCTAAGCCTGTTTTGACGGCTCTATATGTAATAGTTAAGTTAATTGTAGTGTTAAAACATTCATATGCAAGGGTTTGTGATATGTTTTATATTTGAAATGAAAATTTAATGAATAAAGTTGAAAACATGGAAAGTGTAATGGTGTTCTTATTGGCTTAATTTATGGATACCTAATTGCCTTCTAAAATATTAAATATAATTTAGGTAATTGATGTTTAAATAAGTATGTGTATTGATGTAGTATGTATGTAATTACAATTAATTTACTACATTAAAGATAAAAGGTCAAGTTTGTGGAGGGTGAGTAGATGATGGCTTTAGAATGTTGGGTTGGGTGGTGTTTGTAGGGTTCCCTGACCCAGTGCCACTCCCAAGCAGGAAAGGAATGAAAAAATGCAGTCTAATTTCATTAGTTTCCACTTTCCAGTGAAGCTAGGTGTTGATATGTGCTCGGTGACCTATATGTATCTTTTATATATGCCTTTAGTCTTGTGGAATTCATGTGGTGCCATGATCTTCTTGTGATGGCTTTGTTTCTGAAGCATCTCTTCAAATTTTGAACTATAAAAAAAGCTAAAAATTTTCATTTGTTAGTTTATTGGTAAAGCTGCTTATCAGCTGTTAACTTAAGACAAGGGGAGTGGAAATTTGAGTGCCAATTATTTGGCCTAAAGTGAATTTCCAATTTATATGCGCATGTTATTTCCCATTGTTTTTACTAACTCATTTATAACTCTTGCAGACTATCGCAACTGTGTGTATGTTCCTTGCTGGAAAGGTTGAAGAAACGCCTCGACCTTTGAAAGATGTTATACAGGTTTCATATGAGATTATTCATAAGGATGCAGAAGCAGGACAAAGGATTAGGCAAAAGGTATTGTTTGCTGTACCTATCCTTGTACCATTCAGGTGCTCTTAGTGTTACACACTTGCACCCATTTCATTCTTCTATTTGTTTCAGCTTCTTTATAGGTCTCTTTGTTCAAATGATTTCAATGTCCTAATGCTAAAGGGATTATTTGTCCATATCATTAGTTGGTAATTAGGTCTTTTCACATGTCAATTATCTAAATTTTAACCTTCAATGCAGGAAGTCTATGAACCACAAAAAGAACTAATTTTGCTTGGAGAGAGGGAAGTTCTTACTACACTTGGTTTTGACCTTAATGTGCATCATCCATATAAACCCCTTGTTGAGGCAATAAAAAAATTCAAGGTTGCTCAAAATGCACTTGCTCAAGTTGCATGGAATTTTGTTAATGATGGGTAGGATTGCTTATTGTGGTTTTGTATGGAATTGATCCATGAGATTCTTCCTTGTCTCTTTTGACCTGGGAAAGCCGCATGCAGGCTTCGGACGTCTTTATGCTTGCAATTTAAGCCCCATCACATTGCAGCAGGTGCCATTTTCCTTGCTGCCAAGTTTCTCAAAGTAAAGCTCCCATCTGATGGTGAGAAGGTTTGGTGGCAAGAGTTTGATGTCACCCCACGACAATTGGAGGGTTGGTGCTTTGCTTTGGATATACAGTGTTATAGATTAAATTTGTGGTATTGGATGAACCATCTACTCTTATTTAAAAGGATTATGGCTCATTACTGAGGAACTATTCCTAAAACAGGCTTTTCAATTTTTAAAATTGTACATGCACGCATGTATATTCTTCTATTAAAAAAAAAAATATATATTTATGGGTCTTTTATTGAGGGTCTTTTATTGAGGGAAGTTATAAAGAAGAGAGGTGATAAAACTGCTGATCCCTTATTGACACTGATTTTTTGCTCTTGCAGAGGTAAGCAACCAAATGCTTGAACTATATGAACAGAACAAAGCACCGGCTTCTCAGGCTAGCGAAGCGGAAGGTATTGCTGCAGGTACCCAAAGAACTACAAAGGCTTCTGGTGCAATTGAAGACAATATTCCGAATAATAGTAATTCTCATGGCGGTGGTGCTACATCAAAGGCAGGAACCTCCAAAGCATCCTCCCACAGGCCAATCCCTGATCATTCACATGCTATTAATCACGGTGGGAATCCTAGGGTAGCTCAAAATTGTAGTAATGACTACGCAAGTGCTGAAAAGAGCATTTCTGACCGCTTTGGTGATGGTGAGACTAGTGATAAGCATAATCATGAAAGAGAGCCATTGCATTACCAGATCGGTGGGGAAGTACAAAACCGATCAAAGTCTAGTCTTGACAGCCATGGTGAAGAAGACCTGGAAGGGAATGCTGGGAGAAGTGAAACAAGAGATAAGGCAGAACTGAAGGACAAGTTCCATGGTCGGGCCTTGGAGCACAAGGATGGCATGGTTGGCCAATCACCACAAGAGGTTATCAAGAAGATTGACAAAGACAAGGTCAAAGCAGCACTTGAGAGAAACAGAAAGTCCCGCGGGGATGCACCTAGGAAAGTAGATGTATTGGATGATGACGATCTCATTGAAAGAGAATTGGAGGATGGAATAGAGTTAGCTGCTGAGGCTGAAAAGAACAAGCGGGAAAAAAAACAAAGTTGGTCTAAACCTTCAAACAGGCCAGAGCATGACAATGCACATCACATGAAGCATCAAGATGACTCTGGTGATAGACATTACCAAGGAATGAAAGGGCAGTCCTTGCAAAATGATGATTATGAGAATAACGTGGAAGAGGGAGAATTCGAACCTTACGATGATGCTGACAGGGGTGGTTACCATTCACCTAAGTCAATCAACCGTAAGCGAAAGGCAAGTAGCCCTCCTGTGGATGGTAAGCATCGACACGAGTATATGTCAGCAAGCCACAATCACACATACCATGACTTCCCAGAGGATAGAAATAGGACAGGGAGACTTGGTTATTCAGAAAGGGACCACAAAAGGCACGCACAGGAGAATCACGTGTAGAATGCTTTAGAGTGTAATAGCAGCACCATGTCTTAGTTATGAACATTATACAAGGTCGGTGAAGCAGAGTTTTCAAGGTTAGTACAGTTGTGATCTCCGCCTGTGGTTTGGTTTATCTTGCTAAACAATTTTGGACAGCATAAATCTTGAATTGGTCATGGTTCTGAAATTCCTACAGATTTGGGTGGTGAAACACAGCTTTATTGGGTAGGACTGTAGGATTGTGATGGAAGTCCATGCTTTGAGGTGCTAAATTTTTTTTGGGTCAGCTTAAATCTTCAATTGATTAGATAATATCTATTTATAGAATCAAAATTCAAAATGTGTAACATTATTTTTCCTTAGGGCGTGGGGACGGACTATACACGCTCCCCGTCTCCCCTCCCACACATTTTCCTGCTTCCCATCATACATGTTAAGAGTCCCAGGATCGGTTGTATTTTATGGTAGTTGTATAAGTTATCCCCATGGGCTTAAATAACCATTGGGCACATATTTCTCACATTAATTCATTTCCCAGAAATTCCTACTGTATTTTTTTTTGTTCTCAGGGATGGATTGAACGTCGAGGGGTTTTTTTTTTTTTTTTTTTTTTTATTAGAATGTTTAAGTTTACAGCACGTTTAGGTGAAATTGTGAAAAAAGATACAGAATTGTATTTTAGAATATATTTTGTCTAACCATGTGTTGATCTTACTTACCAAGATTAATTCTCTTTGTGCTCGTGCTAGGTAGGATTTCTAAGAGTGCGGGGCCGGATTTTAGCGTGTGCAAAGTGTTCAATAGCATACAATTTCAACTTTTAAGGTTCAATATTTATTTTTGATCTAGCTACTTAAGAAATATATATATATATATATATATATATATATATATATATATATATATATATATAGAGGGAAGGGATCAGGTGTATTTGTTGCCTCCCGTGCGGATGTGTGGTGGATTAATGTATGTGAGGTTTATACTTAATGTGCGTGAGATTTGTATTTAATGTGCGTCATGTTAATATGCGTGAGTTTTGTACTTAATGTGCCTGAGTATTGTATTTAATGTGCGTGAGATTTGTGCTTAATGTGCGTGAGTATTTCAGAATTACGAGCTCAGAAGGAAGCAGAACAAAATTCACGCACATTAACGCCCAATCTTCTTGACTCACGCACATTAACGCCCAAGCTTCTTGTTACTTCTTCCTTCAATTTGGCCATGGATTCTGGATTATCAGCTACCTTCAATGCAGTTGAACGTTTATATAAATGACACACGCACAGTAAAATTTGCACATCAGCTAAGTGTGGATTTCTGTTGTATTATTTTCATAATTCTTAACTACCATAGCTCGCCTCCGCATCATCATCATCAGGGAGGGGGCAAATGGCTATGGCTACTGGGGATAGGGAAGAAGTTGACATTAATATTTTCTGCTGCATTTTACACATTCACGCACATTAAGTACAAATCTCAGACACATTAAGCACAACACTCACGTACATTGAGTACAAATCTCACGCACATTAATCCACCGCACATCCGTACGGGAAGCAAAAATCTTGAAACTCATCAATTTTTTTTCACAAATTACTTCTCTTCTAAAAATTAAGACCTTTTTTCACACTTCTCTCTCTTAATAGTTATGACCTAATTAATTGAATATGGTTATGACCTAATTAATTGAATATGCCGCATGGTAAAATCGGTTTTGTTTTCCCAATGGCACATATGATGTTTCAAAGCCTTGAATCCGTAGAGATAACTTCTTTCCCCTAGCAATTAGGTAGTTTTAAGATTTTTTTTTCTAATTTTGTTTATTTGTTTGTTTGAACTTTTGATATACTCTCTCCGTCCCTAGTCGATTGCCTCATTTTTTTTTTTTTGCACGATTTTTTATACAATATAAAATGTTACTAACTTTCTAATTTTGCCCCTCAAAAGTAGGTGTTATTCGTACAAAGTACAATTATACTTACCTCTAGAAATTTAAAAAGTCAAAAGGGTAAATTGGAAAATGTAGAGTGATAGTTATGTTTAATTTTGAAAAGATGACACTATTTTGGGACAGAGTAAAAAGGAAAGTAAGACAAGTAAAATAAGATGGAAGGAGTAGTAGGTTAGCAAAACTCTTATGATTTGATTTTAAAGATTGGGCATATAGTAAGGGGCTTCATTTATTTACAAGAATGAGAACATTAAACAAAAAAAAAAAAAAAAAAAAAAAAGAACGACCCTGAAGGTGTCTAATAGTATTTAGAATTTGAAATAGATAATTTGGAATGGTATTCTAGAATTTGAAATAGATAATATGGCATATATAATAAAATGAATAAAATGCTCATGTTTAATGCTGAATTCCATGTTCTAATGTTCATAATATTTCAGCATATAATATCCTAAATTGAAAAATGAAAATTCCTTTTTAAAAAATTTGTATTATTTATAACCCAAGTTTTGTTTTGTTTCTTTTTTTTTTTTTTTTTTTTTTTTTGCCGGATTACATCCTAAATTTCATGAATTTGCTCCCCTGGGTCATGAGGAGATAAATCGAGCTAATCTAGGTTTAAGATTCAACACTAAATTATATATTTTTATGCACAAGAAGTCCAACTCAAATCTAAACCCTCAATGTTTATGGTAAGAATCAAATTTTCACCCTGTTGCTAGAGTAAATCTTAAGTGAGACTTTTCATTTCACTAGACAATGTTTTAAGAAAAATTTTAATGTGTATATACTGTTAATCAAAATTGTTGTAATCAATTAGAGTAAGCTAATTGCGGAAGGAAGAATAGTTAAAAGTGTTACATATATTTTAGAACGGTACTACGTGTGTTGATCACTCGATTAACCTGTACTGCTGTACAAGTTAGCAAGTTGAAAAATGTCTTCGGAGCTTTTGCTTGAATGCGTCATTGGATGTTTAACCTTTAACCTTTTTTTACTTTTCCAGTTACACCCAAAAAAAAAAAAAAAGAAACTCATAGTAAACAAATTTAATATGATATTTTAACTTCACAACTCTCAAATATTATTTAAGTTTAGTAATATGTTTGAAATACTCAAACATACATTTAGGGTGTGTTTGGTTCGCACATAGGAATCGGAATCGGAATGGGTATCAAATACTTGGTAATGGTAATGGGTTTTGGTGAAAGTATTTAACATGTTTGGTAGTAGGGTGGAATGGGAATGGTTACCAATAGTAGTGCTTGAGAATTAATAAGGGAATGAAACCCTTATTGTATTTGGGTATGAGTTTTTCAATTGATGGGGTATTCGAAACCCATAGTAGTGTTCTAAAAACCTATCAACCAAACAACAACAATCACTTTCATACCCATTCCTATGGACAAAACCCACCAACCAAACACATCCTTAGTATATATAAATCTTCAACATTGTGGGACTCTTGACATTTTTCTAAATCTAAAAACATAATAAGTCTCAATTAAAGTTATATCCCTCATTTATGTCCATATTTTTAATGCTAATTATTTTGTACATTGTGTTTTTAGAGTTGTACTATATAATTTTTTAGACAAAAATACCCCTACAGTTATAACTTCCGTTATCTTTTTCATTATTGTTATTATACACATGCATCTACCATATATTTTATTATATTCTTTAATGATAATAATATTTATAGACATTATATATTAAAATATTATAATAAATAAATTTGATGATTTCATATAGATTTTAATTAATACGAATTTATTAGTTATTTTAAAAAATATAAATATTGGGCAAGAAAAGAAAAAAGCAGAAATGATAAGCACTTGTCGACTTGTCGTAGATGACGTTGAAAGTTCAGAAGTATTCCATCACCAAAGTTGACTTGAATGCATATAGTCGCAGTCAACTATATCATACTCCGCAGACTATGAGTTGGACCAAATTTCTGATTTCATTTGTTCACACTTAACCTACTAATACTGCCCTACTTTTCTATCTCTCTCTCTCTATATATATATACATATATATATATATATATATATTCAGGTTACTGAGTTTCACAGCTACTTGAAGCCATCCAATTAGGATTCGGAAAAATTGAGTACCTGTTATTATCTGGCTCATTCATTCTTACTTCTTAGTAATATAATATAACATTTGTATACTAGGAAATTAGTGTAACCGTCTTACAGATATTTATCTGTGAGACATGTCGGGTCAATATAAAAATGTAATACTAATAAAATGATTGTTACTTATAAGAAAAATTGTACTGTAATAGTTTTTAATTTTGAAAAAAATGTACTTCATAATATTTTTAACTCAAAATGTAAAAGTATTACATTTTTCTTTAAAAGTATTACACTTTTCCTTACAAGTAATAAACACTTTATTCCTGATTAGTATCACATTTTTAGTATAAGTATTACATTTAATTTTTATCTTGACTCGACCCGTGTTGCGAACAAATTTTTGCAAAGAAATTATTTTCAAACCTTAAAATTTAAAAGAGTAAATCACACTTTTGGCCCCTCAGTTAGTAGGGGGGTGCATCGGTCGGTTCGGGTGGGCGGATGGGCAACCCTTTCGGATTTCGGATATCATTATTTAAATCCTATTTCGTTTTTTAATCTAAGAAATCTACTCGGGTTGACTGAACTTCGGGTGGGATCGGTTCGGTCGGATATCCGAACCAATTTCGGATAGTTCAATAATAATGAAATAAAGGAAAAGCACTACAAAATTGAACAAAACAGTGTAAATATAAAAAGTTAATATAACATACATGCAATTACATTTTACTCTAACTGCAATTACATGCCAAAATACTACTGAATATGCACTTAAGTCAAAAAATTATCCTTGCAAATTGCAATTACATGCCAAAAAAGTACTGAATTTCCAAGTTCCTACTTCCTAGTCTTCCTAGAGTTCCTAATCTCTTCCTATTGTTCTTCATCTTCCTGTAAACACTCAAAACTTAAGCAAAGTTAGCAATAAGTCAAAATGCCAAATAGCAAAAATAAGTTATTGAGCAACAGAATATCATTAGACAGTTATAATTTATAAACTTGGCTCAGTAAGCTTTTTATCCATATCAAAGTTAGGATTAAGGGGAAATTGCTACAACATCCCCATGAGGATGGAGCAACATACCAGCTTAATCCCTTATTTTTCATATCATTGGTGGAAGCTTTCATCATGGCCATAATATAATAAAAGTATAAAACATAAACAAATTGTAAAATGTGCCAACTTACCAACAATGTAACAACTTACAATGGCAGCAACTAATTTAATTAGTTACCAAGCCAGCTGCAAGCAAGCCTCATGAGTCATGAATAACAGGCAAACAGCATAAATGTATTACAGAATACATTCAAACAGAAACATCAGTATAAAGTATAAAGTACAAAGCATAGCATTACAGGAATTGTAGCAAGTGTAGAACCACCACTCCTTCCAGTTCCACTGCCACCATCAGTCCCAATTTCTGCAACAACAAAAAATTATAAGGAAAATAGGAAATAACAAATTGTTAAAAAAAATTGAATAGAATGTGTTACCTTGTTCAAATCTCTCC